ATTCGCTCCTTCACGCTTCGACAAGAAGCAAAATATTAAGCAATCGTTCCGACGGAGCTAAATTACTACAGGATAAAGAACGAATAGGAAATTTGGATTTCGAAACAAAAAAGAGAGGGGTGCAACACGAGGACTTCCCAGGGGGTCACCCATCCTAGTACTACTCTCGCCCAAGCATGCTGAACTTCGGAGTTCTGATGTGATCCAGTGCATTAGTGCTGGTATGATCGTACCCGCCATGTTCCTTTCGCTTTATTCTTTTAAACTACCCCGTCCTGCGAAGCAGTGTGGCTATTCTAGACCGAAATTCATTTTAAGCGTCAATTCAAGCATTTTTTTCTTATCCTTTTGTTTATTTGCTTTCATATTTTTTTTTGTTATTGATTTGCACCCTGTTTTTTTCCCTCATCGCGCAACAATAAATTGTCATCAAATCAATCCATCACGCTAGCGCTGATACATTTGCGCCGACAAATTTGAGCGATGATCCAGGCTTTGATCGAGCCGTACCGTTCCTGATTTGTCTCGCGCCTTCAGATCCGCCTTCATGCTTCGAGAAGAAGCAAAATATAAAGCAATCGTTCTGAAGGACCTAAATTACTACAGGATAAAGAACGAATAGAAAATTTGAATTTCGAAACAAAAAAGAGAGGGGTGCAACAAGAGGAATTCCCAGGGGGTCACCCATCCTAATACTGCTCACGCCCAAGCACGCTTAACTTCGGAGTTCTGATGGGATACGGTGCATTAGTGCTGGTATGATCGCACCCACAACGTTCCTTTCGCTTTATTCTTTTAAACTACCCCGTCCAGCGAAGCAGTGTGGCTTTTCTAGACCGGAATTCATTTTAAGCGTCAATTGAAGCATTTTCCTCTTATTATTTGATTTATTTACTTTATATTTTTTTTTGTTATTGATTTGCACCCTGTTTTTTTCCATCATCCCGCAACTCTAAATTATCATGAAATCAATCCTTCACGCTTGCAGTGATACATTTGCGCCGACAAATTTGAGCGACGATCCGGGCTTTGATCGAGCCGTACCGTTCCTGATTTGTCTCGCGCCTTCAGATCCTCCTTCACGCTTCGACAAGAAGCAGCAATATTAAGCAATCGTTCCGACGAAGCTAAATTACTACAGGATAAAGAACGAATAGGAAATTTGGATTTCGAAACAAAAAAGAGAGGGGTGCAACACGAGGACTTCCCAGGGGGTCACCAATCCAAGTACTACTCTCGCCCAAACACGCTTAATTTCGAAGTTCTGATGGGATCCGGTGCATTAGTGCTGGTATGATCGCACCCACCATATTCCTTTCGCTTTATTCTTTTAAACTACCCCGTCCTGCGAAGCAGTGTGGCTTTTCTAGACCGAAATTCATTTTAAGCGTCAATTCAAGCATTTTCCTATTATCCTTTTATTTATTTTGCTTTCTTAATTTTTTTGTTATTTGATTTGCCCCCTATTTTTTTTTCCATCATCCCGCAACTCTAAATTATCATTTGAAATCAATCCTTCACGCTTGCGCTGATAACATTTGCAGCCGACAAAATTGGAGCCCGACGATTCGCGGCTTTGAATCGAGTCGTTTACCGCTTCCTGATTTGTCTCGCCGCCTTTCAGATCTGCCTCATGCTTCGCAGAAGAAGAAAATATTAAAGCAAATCGTCCGAAGGAACCTAAATTACTACAGGATAAAGAACGAATAGAAAATTTGAATTTCGAAACAAAAAAAGAGAAGGGGTGCAACAAGAGGAAATTTCCCAGGGGGTCACCCATCTAAGTACTCCTCTCGCCCAAACACGCTTAATTTCGAAGTTCTGATGGGATCCGGTGCATTAGTGCTGGTATGATCGCACCCGCCATATTCCTTTCGCTTTATTCTTTTAAACTACCCCGTCCTGCGAAGCAGTTTGGCTTTTCTAGACCGAAATTCAATTTAAGCGTCAATTCAAGCATTTTCCTATTATCCTTTTATTTATTTGCTTTCATATTTTTTTTTGTCATTGATTTGCCCCCTGTTTTTTTCCATCATCCCGCAACTCTAAATTATCATGAAATCAATCCTTCACGCTTGCGCTGATACATTTGCGCCGACAAATTTGAGCGACGATCCGGGATTTGATCGAGCCGTACCGTTCCTGATTTGTCTCGCGCCTTCAGATCCGCCTTCATGCTTCGAGAAGAAGCAAAATATAAAGCAATCGTTCCGAAGGACCTAAATTACTACAGGATAAAGAACGAATAGAAAATTTGAATTTCGAAAGAAAAAAGAGAGGGGTGCAACAAGAGGAATTCCCAGGGGGTCACCCATCCTAGTACTACTCTCGCCCAAGCATGCTGAACTTCGGAGTTCTGATGTGATCCGGTGCATTAGTGCTGGTATGATCGTACCCGCCATGTTCCTTTCGCTTTATTCTTTTAAACTACCCCGTCCTGCGAAGCAGTGTGGCTTTTCTAGACCGAAATTCATTTTAAGCGTCAATTCAAGCATTTTTTTCTTATCCTTTTGTTTATTTGCTTTCATATTTTTTTTTGTTATTGATTTGCACCCTGTTTTTTTCCCTCATCGCGCAACAATAAATTGTCATCAAATCAATCCATCACGCTAGCGCTGATACATTTGCGCCGATAAATTTGAGCGATGATCCGGGCTTTGATCGAGCCGTACCGTTCCTGATTTCTCTCGCGCCTTCAGATCCGCCTTCATGCTTCGAGAAGAAGCAAAATATAAAGCAATCGTTCCGAAGGACCTAAATTACTACAGGATAAAGAACGAATAGAAAATTTGAATTTCGAAACAAAAAAGAGAGGGGTGCAACAAGAGGAATTCCCAGGGGGTCACCCATCCTAATACTGCTCACGCCCAAGCACGCTTAACTTCGGAGTTCTGATGGGATACGGTGCATTAGTGCTGGTATGATCGCACCCACAACGTTCCTTTCGCTTTATTCTTTTAAACTACCCCGTCCAGCGAAGCAGTGTGGCTTTTCTAGACCGGAATTCATTTTAAGCGTCAATTGAAGCATTTTCCTCTTATTATTTTATTTATTTACTTTATATTTTTTTTTGTTATTGATTTGCACCCTGTTTTTTTCCATCATCCCGCAACTCTAAATTATCATGAAATCAATCCTTCACGCTTGCGGTGATACATTTGCGCCGACAAATTTGAGCGACGATCCGGGCTTTGATCGAGCCGTACCGTTCCTGATTTGTCTCGCGCCTTACAGGATCCTCCTTCACGCTTCGACAAAGAAGGCAACAATAAATTACAGCAATCGTTCCGACGGCAGCTAAATTACTACAGGATAAAGAACGAATAGAAAATTTGGATTTCGAAACAAAAAAGAGAGGGGTGCAACAAGAGGAATTCCCAGGGGGTCACCCATCCTAATACTGCTCACGCCCAAGCACGCTTAACTTCGGAGTTCTGATGGGATACGGTGCATTAGTGCTGGTATGATCGCACCCACAACGTTCCTTTCGCTTTATTCTTTTAAACTACCCCGTCCAGCGAAGCAGTGTGGCTTTTCTAGACCGAAATTCATTTTAAGCGTCAATTGAAGCATTTTCCTCTTATCCTTTTATTTATTTACTTTATATTTTTTTGTTATTGATTTGCACCCTGTTTTTTTCCAGCATCCCGCAACTCTAAATTATCATGAAATCAATCCTTCACGCTTGCGCTGATACATTTGCGCCGACAAATTTGAGCGACGATCCGGGCTTTGATCGAGCCGTACCGTTCCTGATTTGTCTCGCGCCTTCAGATCCGCCTTCATGCTTCGAGAAGAAGCAAAATATAAAGCAATCGTTCCGAAGGACCTAAATTACTACCGGATAAAGAACCAATAGAAAATTTGAATTTCGAAACAAAAAAGAGAGGGGTGCAACAAGAGGAATTCCCAGGGGGTCACCCATCCTAGTACTACTCTCGCCCAAGCATGCTTAACTTCGGAGTTCTGATAGGATCCGGTGCATTAGTGCTGGTATGATCGCACCCGCCACGTTCCTTTCGCTTTATTCTTTTAAACTACCCCGTCCTGCGAAACAGTGTGGCTTTTCTAGACCGAAATTCATTTTAAGCGTCAATTCAAGCTTTTTCCTATTATCCTTTTATTTATTTGCTTTCATATTTTTTTTTATTATTGATTTGCCCCCTGTTTTTTTCCATCATCCCGCAACTCTAAATTATCATGAAATCAATCCTTCACGCTTGCGCTGATACATTTGCGCCGACAAATTTGAGCGACGATCCGGGCTTTGATCGAGCCGTACCGTTCCTGATTTGTCTCGCGCCTTCAGATCCGTCCTTCACGCTTCGACAAGAAGCAAAATATTAAGCAATCGTTCGACGAGCTAAATTACTACAGGATATAAGAACGAATAAGAAATTGGGGATCTCGAAACAAAAAAGAGAGGGGTGCAACACGAGGACTTCCCAGGGGGTCACCAATCCAAGTATTACTCTCGCCCAAACACGCTTAATTTCGAAGTTCTGATGGGATCCGGTGCATTAGTGCTGGTATGATCGCACCCACCATATTCCTTTCGCTTTATTCTTTTAAACTACCCCGTCCTGCGAAGCAGTTTGGCTTTTCTAGACCGAAATTCATTTTAAGCGTCAATTCAAGCATTTTCATATTATCCTTCTATTTATTTGCTTTCATATTTTTTTTTGTCATTGATTTGCCCCCTGTTTTTTTCCATCATCCCGCAACTCTAAATTATCATGAAATCAATCCTTCACGCTTGCGCTGATACATTTGCGCCGACAAATTTGAGCGACGATCCGGGCTTTGATCGAGCCGTACCGTTCCTGATTTGTCTCGCGCCTTCAGATCCGCCTTCATGCTTCGAGTAGAAGCAAAATATAAAGCAATCATTCCGAAGGACCTAAATTACTACAGGATAAAGAACGAATAGAAAATTTGAATTTCGAAACAAAAAAAAGAGGGGTGCAACAAGAGGAATTCCCAGGGGGTAACCCATCCTAGTACTACTCTCGCCCAAGCATGCTTAACTTCGGAGTTCTGATGGGATCCGGTGCATTAGTGCTGGTATGATCGCACCCGCCATGTTCCTTTCGCTTTATTCTTTTAAACTACCCCGTCCTGCGAAGCAGTGTGGCTTTTCTAGACCGAAATTCATTTTAAGCGTCAATTCAAGCATTTTTTTCTTATCCTTTTGTTTATTGCTTTCATATTTTTTTTTGTTATTGATTTGCACCCTGTTTTTTTCCCTCATCGCGCAACAATAAATTGTCATGAAATCAATCCATCACGCTAGCGCTGATACATTTGCGCCGACAAATTTGAGCGATGATCCGGGCTTTGATCGAGCCGTACCGTTCCTGATTTCTCTCGCGCCTTCAGATCCGCCTTCATGCTTCGAGAAGAAGCAAAATATAAAGCAATCGTTCCGAAGGACCTAAATTACTACAGGATAAAGAACGAATAGAAAATTTGAATTTCGAAACAAAAAAGAGAGGGGTGCAACAAGAGGAATTCCCAGGGGGTCACCCATCCTAATACTGCTCACGCCCAAGCACGCTTAACTTCGGAGTTCTGATGGGATACGGTGCATTAGTGCTGGTATGATCGCACCCACAACATTCCTTTCGCTTTATTCTTTTAAACTACCCCGTCCAGCGAAGCAGTGTGGCTTTTCTAAACCGGAATTCATTTTAAGCGTCAATTGAAGCATTTTCCTCTTATTCTTTTATTTATTTACTTTATATTTTTTTTGTTATTGATTTGCACCCTGTTTTTTTCCATCATCCCGCAACTCTAAATTATCATGAAATCAATCCTTCACGCTTGCGGTGATACATTTGCGCCGACAAATTTGAGCGACGATCCGCGGCTTTGATCCGAAGCGCGCTACCGCTTCCTGATTTGTTCTCGCGCCTTCAGATCTCTTCACGCTGTCGACAGCAAGCAAAAAGTATAAGCTATCGTTCGCACTAGCCTAATTACTACAGGATAAAGAACGAATAGGAAATTTGGATTTCGAAACAAAAAAGAGAGGGGTGCAACACGAGGCGACTTCCCAGGGTCACCAATCCAAGTACTACTCTCGCCCACAACACGCTTAATTCGAATTCTATGGGATCGGTGCATTATCTGTATGATCGCCCACCCGCCATATTCCTTTCGCTTTATTCTTTTAAACTACCCCGTCCTGCGAAGCAGTGTGGCTTTTCTAGACCGAAATTCATTTTAAGCGTCAATTCAAGCATTTTCCTATTATCCTTTTATTTATTTGCTTTCTTATTTTTTTTTGTTATTGATTTGCCCCCTATTTTTTTCCATCATCCCGCAACTCTAAATTATCATGAAATCAATCCTTCACGCTTGCGCTGATACATTTGCGCCGACAAATTTGAGCGACGATTCGGGCTTTGATCGAGCCGTACCGTTCCTGATTTGTCTCGCGCCTTCAGATCCTCCTTCACGCTTCGACAAGAAGCAAAATATTAAGCAATCGTTCCGACGGAGCTAAATTACTACAGGATAAAGAACGAATAGGAAATTTGGATTTCGAAACAAAAAAGAGAGGGGTGCAACACGAGGACTTCCCAGGGGGTCACCAATCCAAGTACTACTCTCGCCCAAACACGCTTAATTTCGAAGTTCTGATGGGATCCGGTGCATTAGTGCTGGTATGATCGCACCCGCCATATTCCTTTCGCTTTATTCTTTTAAACTACCCCGTCCTGCGAAGCAGTGTGGCTTTTCTAGACCGAAATTCATTTTAAGCGTCAATTCAAGCATTTTCCTATTATCCTTTTATTTATTTGCTTTCATATTTTTTTTTGTTATTGATTTGCCCCCTGTTTTTTTCCATCATCCCGCA